GCCCCATGTTAGTTTTGTTCAATTCCTTAAAGTATTAGGTTTCAGAAAATTATAGGTTTCAGAACCAAAAAATTCTATTTTTATGAAGAAAAATAAAGCAAAAATAATTTCAGTATGCCCCATAACAAAAATATTGCTAAATACTTCTTCCTTCCTATTGTACGCGTGCGCAGAAAAGTTGAATAATTTTCCATAGTTACAATGGTCTCAAGTACCCAGGAATGAATGTAAGTAGACCAAAAATTTGGATGCAATCTTTTTAAAACGTTGTTCGATCATTTTTCTCACCTTTGCTTGCAGTTTAATTGTCATATCTAAGCTATATAATCATGATTTTCATAAGTCTTTCTCTTTATGCTACCGATATCGTAAGAGAAAGACGTGATTATGACTCATTGTGTTACTTTAAATACAGTGCTACTCTTCGTATTGATTTTTTGTACTTTATCTACTTGAAACATAATATTTCAATCTATTGCTCCAACTTCAATTTTTTTCTTCATTAAATTCACAATGGTTAAATTGAAGTCGACCTTCATTCAAAGAAGAAGCTAGCTTAGATTTTTTAATAAGAGGCCCACGGGCCACATCGCTCACCTGAGCACTGTGGCTAGGTAGAAAAGTAGAAATTAGTTTATTATTGAAAAGTTTAAATTCAAAAGAAGTCCCATGACCAATCATGGATTTGCTATTCTTGAGAAGATGATTTTTAAAGAATTTTCCTATATATTTCTATGTAAAATTTGGTCGGCCATTGTGGCCCCGCCCTACCCACGGGGGTAATGATTTGAACGAACTTGAATTTGCACTACCTGAGGATGCTTCAATATAAATATGACCAATCATGGCTTTGTTATTCTTGAGAAGAAGATTTTTAAAGAATTTTCCTATATATTTCTATGTAAAACTTTGGTCGGCCATGTGGCCCCGCCAACCCCCGGGGGTCATGATTTAACAAACTTGAATCTACACTATAAAATATATATAAATTTGACCAATCATGGCTTTGTTATTCTTGAGAAGATGATTTTTAAAGAATTTTCCTATATATTTCTATGTAAAACTTTGGTCGGCCATTGTGGCCCCGCCCTACCCCCGGGGGTCATGATTTGAACGAACTTGAATCTACACTACCTGAGGATGCTTTCATATGAATATGACCAATCATGGCTTTGTTATCCTTGAGAAGATGATTTTTAAAGAATGTTCCTATATATTTCTATGTAAAACTTTGGTCGGCCATTGTGGCCCTGCCCAACCCCCGGGGGTCATGATTTGAACAAAATTGAATCTACACTACCTGAGGACGCTTCCGTATGAGTTTCATCTTTCCTGGCCCAGTGGTTCTTGAGAAGAAGATTTTTTTTAAAATGCCATTAATTTTTCACTAATTCATTATTATCTCCCCTTGGAAGAAGGCGTGGCCCTTCATTTGAATAGACTTGAATTCCCTTAACATAAGGATACTTTGTGGCAAGTTTGGTTGAAATTGGCCCAGTAGTTCTTGAGAAGAAGATGAAAATGTGAAAAGTTTACAGACAGACGGACAGACAGACAGACAGACGGACGGACTCCGGAAAAATGTGATCAGAAAAGCTCACTTGAGCTTTCAGCTCAGGTGAGCTAAAAAGTCTATGAACAAACTCGTTTATACTGAAATATCAGTATTAACACTAGAAATAACACCCCAGAGCCTCCCAAGGGGGGGGGGGGTTTAGAGGCTCGAACAGACAGATCAAACAGTTACGACAAGGAACAACCCACGGACTGTGAGAAGGATGGTGCAACTAACATTAGATGGAGGAAAGGATGAAGTCCGATGCACATGTGGTAAAGTCTTCAAGAACATCCGAGGACTGAAGGTAACCAAGTAAGAATTCGATATGGTAGTGTGACAACCCAGATACAGAACACAGAGCCAACTGGTGAGACCCAGGAGGATCCTTGCCAGACCACAACCCACAACCTCTCCGTGTCTGAGTCGTCCCAGGACAGCAGCGGCTACCTGATGGAGGAACTCGGTCTTCGAAATAGCCAGGGCCAGCAGACACAAAGTAACGGCAAGGCAAAGAGGCCAAGGATATCATGGCCGAGGGGAGATGATGAAGCGGTGTGGAATGGTTTCGATGAAGATGTCAGCATGATCCTTGAGTCAACAGTGCAAGGAAATGTAGAGAGGAAGATTGGGATACTTACCAACATGGTATATAACATTGGTAAAAAGCGGTTTGGGACAGTGGAAGGATACGCAAGAAATGAGAATAAAGAACAGACCCCAAATAAGTGGGAGCGAAGGATTAGAGAATGTCGGCAGGAACTAAACGAGCCGCTGAACAAACAGTTCAGAAGAGGGAATGACTGGGAAGAAGCAGGAAGAGCACAATTGACGGATAACATCAGGTCAGAGCTATCAAAGCTAAGGAGAGCGCGGCAATTGCGGCAGAGGAAGAAGAAAATAGAGAAGAGCAGGGCAAAGTTTATGAAGCATCCATTTAAGTTAATAGAGGAAAATATAGGGTAAGAAAGATCAGGGACTCTTTACTGTTCAAAGGAAGGAGTATTTAAATGAGACCCACTCTGACCCCTAGAGAGAAGAATCACTCGGTCAGTGCCCAAATGAGATGATAGTTGATTCACAAGAGGTTGAGATGGATATTCAGGAGCCTAAATGGAAGGAACTGAAAGAAGGGGTCAAGGAAGCAAGATCAGACTCAGCTCCTGGACCAAATGGGATACAATACAAAGTCTATAACAGGTGCCCAAAGTTACTGAGAAGACTGTGGCAACTGTATCGAGTAATTTAAAGGAAAGGGACGATACCAGCATGTTGGAAAGAGGCATAGAGGCATCAGCCTCAGACACACCATGATTCAAGATAAAGTACAGCGCACTGGGGAAAATCAGCGGAAAGCACAATCAACAGAACTGGGTAAACAGAGGGACCTGAATGAAGTAGGAGTTACCGGAGAGGGAATTAAAAAGGGCATAAATGTGGAGGAAGGACCACTTTAGAACCTTCTGGCTGAGGTCAGTGTATGAAACACTCTTATCTCCTGCAAAATTACAACAATGGGGGCTAAGTAAAGACCCTAGCTGCAAGCTGTGTGGAAAGAGAGGACAATGGTGCATATTCTAACAGTATGCCAAGTATTCCAGGGAAGATATTGATGGCGACATGCCAAAGTCCTGCGGGAGTTGATTGAAGTGCTGGAGGTGGAAATAGAAGGAAACGACTAGCAGACAAGAAACAAAGACAGGTACAGTTTGTGAGACAGGGTGGAGCAATGGCTGACACAAGAGCAGCAAGGAGGACATCAGTGTTGGATAGAGGACATGACTGGGAGTTCAGGTTCGATCTGGACAAGAAGTTAGTTTTCCCTAAAATCGTTGAAACCAACCTAATCCCAGACGCAGTTTTAGTGTCCCAGCAGTCAAAGACGTTGGATGCAATCGAGCTGACTGTGCCATGGGAAGAAAATTGTCGCACTTGAGAGGAAAAGCCTTAAGTGTGCAGACTGTTTGGCTGTTTCCAATAGAGGTTGGCTGTAGAGGTTTCCCAGTGCAATCGGTGTGGAAGCTGCTCACACGATTCAGGAAGAGCTGCAAGACAGCAGCATGGAGACTGAGAGAAGCAGCAGAAAAGTAATCCTGCTGGATATGGCACCGCCGAGATAATCTGTGCTGGAAGTCGGAGTCCATCGAGTAGTGAATTGGTCACCACTGCTGACCCACCAACTGGAGGATGCCATGGTTTAGAGTCGAAACATCCGATGAAGGTTGGAGACCATCTGATGACGATCGGAACCGATAGGCAAGCACTGGGAGCGGAAGTTTCAGATAGCGAAAGACATGCTTAAGAATGCCAAGCTGACATTTAGCAGAAAAACATCCTCTGTAAGTGAATACTGTATACTTCTCTATGGAACAATCCTTTTGTGAGATTCAACGTAGCACTAATGTCATTTTTATTTGAATTATTGTTTCATTCAGTTTTATTATACCCCCGCTTGAAAACATAGGGTAGAATTATGAATTTTCAAGCCATCATTAATAACATTTAAAATAGAATAATCATTAAAATTTCAATTGTAATTTTGAAATTTAATGAAACTTTCACAGAATCTTTATTACATATTGCCATTGTGCACCTCCTATTTTACTTTTTTATATATTTATATTTTAGGTTTATAGCAAAACATGGACGTAAAATTGCCATTATTTTTTATCTATGACGTCACATGTTAGAAGCTTCTGGATAACATTTGATAGTATTATTCAACTCATTAAACACATATACGTAAAACAATATATAGCAACACATGGACATTATAGGAGGCGGAGGGGTATCATTTAGTGTGCTCATTGCTCACAGTAACGGAAAAAATCCTCTCAGTTTGAATTACTAACTTTTATTCGCGTGCAGAAATTTTCAATGATAAAGTTCGCGAAGGTCCTCATCGTCGCATAAAATTTCGAAATGATGACTTTCGAACCCGTTCTTCAAAGTCTATGTGTCTATTACCTCGTTTAAGAAATTGAACCAAAATAGGCTTGATCGCGAAAATTAATCGTCGTGAATTAGTTTTGCATAATAAATCGCGAAATAAAGTCGTCGTGAATAAAAGTAGGTTTAGTATTGTATTTCGGTGTTTTAATTAGAACTTACCCTTTCAAGACACATTTTGGCTTGAATTGTGAATTTTCAGACCATCATTAATTACACTTAAAATAAAATTATCATTAAAATTTCAATTGTACTTTTGAAGTTTTAAAGCCCTTAAAACGTTTTTTCTGCAATTTTTTCATATAAGATTTTTGCATAAATTCGTTGGTATGAATATAAAAATTACTTGCTTATAAATTTTTGGGAAAATTATTTAGATATATACAAAAAAAGGTAAAATAAACCATCTGTTTTATATTTCCTGTCAGGTATTTGCATGTATATTGAGAAAACGTGGGGAAAAATTTATTTTTGGTGTAAAAAAGGCTGATTTTGTTCCTTATTTTCGACGTCTCCCAATGGGAAGAGTAACAAAACCCCAGGGATGAGTTGTGGTCCTTGTTTTAGGTACTAAAGAGGACTTTGTGTTGACAGTTGAGCCAGTTACTGTTGATATCTTCTGTGATGTAGTTTTCTGCAGAAGAGTTAAATGTTGTAAAGTTGATGATTTCATGGTTGATAAATTCTGAGTCACTTGAATTGGAGTTGATTTTGCTGTTGTTGATTTGACCACTGGTTTTGTGGTTGACAAATGTCCTGATTGAGAGGTTGTCACAGAAGTTGGTTGAGTCTTTGAATTTGATACCATACCAATAGGCAGTGTTGTTTGACCCCCTATCTGTTTATGATGAACTGTAAGAGATCAAAATGTCATTGATAAGATAGACGCTACTAACTGCTTGTTATTCATAAATCCCTTCGAATTGAAAATTGAAGAAATCAACAGCATATCACATTTTTGTGTACCGTATACAAACAGCATGAAAATTGTAACATTGTCACGTATATTGTTACGTATACCAGTATATCTTTTTAAAAAATACCAATGTTCGAAGTTTTATTAAATTGGAATTATATTTTTATGCAAAAGCATCTTCGACTAATACATGACCTTTTAGCATCTGACAAGTAGTGAAAAATGAAAATAGTTAAGTGAGACGAAATTTAATGCAATTCTTTTCACCATCCTACCTCATCACCATTTTGCACGCTTACCTAGAACTGCCTGCTGCAGGGTATCGCTAACACAAGCATTGTCTCTGCAGCAGCGCGTCGAGCTGCGTATATTTAAAAAGTCATCTTGTTGAGCAATTCTACATTCAAGATCCTACAGATAGAAAAAAAAATCTCTTAACTATTCATAGAAATCTTATACGTATGAAAAATTTCTAAATCAAGGTAAATTATTGACAAACACGTTGATGAAACAAGAATTTCAGCAGTCTCGTTTAAAGTCATCATTTCGTAAGTTCTATGGTCGATACAATGACCTTGTCAGCAAACACAATTTATCACTGAGGCATGACAAGGAACACACGGTGGGGAGGGGATGCTCACTCCTCCAGGGCACCTGATTCCACCTCTGATGTTTTGGAGATCCGTATTTGCTCTGCTCCTATTGTTTTATGGACTTTTGATCCTAAATATTGTTATCTCCATGTTTCATACATATACATGTAGATATAGGAGGGCTTTAAAGAATCGTGTGAAAGCTTTTGGAGAATTTGATATTAAAATCAATAAAAAAAAAATTAGATGAAATAAAAGGAATTATATATACCCTTTTTTCCTTATATAATTACTTTTTAAGTTGCCATATAACATGACATCAAACACGATGTTTAAGAACATGTGCTTGGGAACGGTAACATCCTCTTCCTCAGGTACCACCACATCTGTTATTTTCATGAAAAATTTTTCTGTGACATATTTACGCTATTTTCTAGTAAAAAAATCCCGGAGAAATAAATTGAACAGAAATGATTGAACCACGTTAAAGTTGAGGGGATTTCCTATCGAGAGTCCGGTTGATACAAGTTAACATACTTAATTTAGTGGCATTCATATTTCAGCGCCTTTCGCACTACCTACATACGGGGTTTATATCTCAGTTGATTCGATACGAAAGAGCATGCACTTTATATGTGAACAATTTCTAATAAAACGAATTAAACTATTGACAAATTGCCGAAACAAGAATATCACCAGTCTCGTTTAAAGTCGTCATTTCATAAGTTCTATGGTCGACACAAGTGACCTTGTCAGCAAATACAATCATTAACATTAAGTCAAATGCTGACTGACGTTTTTCAAACTAATTGTTAGGCAATTTTATATACATGTGCACTGAATTGTCGACGAATTTTTTTCCTCATGACAAGGATAACATGGCGGGTGTGACAAGTCGGCAGGGAATGGCCATACCTCCATGGCAAGTGATCCCACCTCTGGTGTTTTGGAGGTCCATGTTTGATATGCTCCAATTTTGTTTTCTTGAATTGAATTTTGAGCTTGAATGCTGTTCGTTATATCCGTTAAAATACGAATAGTGTTACAGTACATGTAACGACATTTCGAACTTACTAACGTGCATTTTGTTTGCAGTCTCCCATCTTTGTATCTGATCATACAAGTATTGTCACATTCTGTAGCAAATGATCGACAACGAAAAGTTAAATAATCGTCACAGGTGAAACAGGAGAGTGATCGGGGTACTTGATTGGTCACTTTTTGTAATGACGTCATCATTTGAGTCGTGGAGCTGGTCTGCTGTGTAGAAGGTGTTGAGGTTGATGGAGAAGTTGTTTTGTAAATCCAATTTTGCCCTGAAACCAAATAGTAAAAACAGCAATTTTAAAATTATATTGATTGATAATTTATTATATTACTTTGTTGCAGTTATCCTCTCACAAGAATTTGAATCTCAACGCAGGAATTTAATTATAGATCTATAAACATTTCAATAGTTTACCATGAGAGTGAAGCTGGCAAAAACAAAAACACTGGATTTCTGCCCATGATTTATATATCGTACAGATGATAGGATCATAGGTATGGCATAGTGATACGTGGTCTATACACGCCGCAGGATCTGGAAATACATGTAGCTATATTGCACATATACGATCAATCCTAATTTACAGGACCATTAGATTAATTTTAGCTGCATCCCAGATGTACGTTTTAAAAGTAGGAGATAGTTATTTTGATCCCCCATGGCACTTGATCCAACATCTGATGTTTAAGAGGTCCAAGATTTCTCTGCTCCTGAATTGTTTTGATTGAATGAACTATTGAGCTTGAATACTGTTCGCTTATTTTTATACAATTCATCAAAAGAAATAAGGACTATACTGTACCTTTTTACTCCTTCTTCGATAGGATTGTCCAATGTTACTGTGGACCATTCTGATATACGTACTTGCTATTTTCATACATTTCATCTATGAAGAAATAACGACTATACTGTACCTTTTTACTCCTTCTACGATAGGATTGTCCAATGTCACCGTGGGTCATTTTGATATACGGACTATGAATCTAATGTTGAATCCTTACCAGATAAGTCGCCGTGTAGTTGTTTTTCGACCGCAAGTGTAGATTCTGAGAGGAAAACAGAAGACAGCACCAAAACTATAAAGAACACGATTTCCATATTTTTTCCAAATTGAAATTTCCCCCAGCTACTTAAAAGCTGGGCTGTGTCCGGTTTTTGGAGGAATATATCTCACGTCACATAATCCTTTCTGAGAGATAAAACTAAAAGGTCAATAAGAAATGTCCAGTTGGTGCAAAACTGACCAATCATACAAAGTTAAAATTGTATATGTGGTCGAACCTCTACTCCCAGGTATGTGGTCTTAATACTTCGGGTAGCGTGAAATTTCAACAAAAATTTTTCAGAATCAAAGTGAAATAATTGTGTAGACAAGAGAACAAAATAATGTCCATTCTAATATCTGCGTGTGTAAGATAAATTGCTAAATAATTTTACATTTAAACAGTCAGGCTGAACATTGTTATATGCAGTTTGTGTGCAGTGGGAAAGGGAGAAGTGGTGCAAACAATATTATTGGCTCAGATTTTAAGAGGAGTTTTTGATACAATCATGTAAATTTGGGTTTATTCTAGCAAATCCAACATATGTTCGGGAATTTGTGCACTTATTCAGTCTTCAGAATGCGTAATTAACTTCTGTTTCCAAACAATTTTTGCTTGCCATATCTAGAATTTTCTACATAACACAGCAAATTTAGTAAAAATAAATAAACAAACAAACAAACAATAAACAAACAAACAAACATCCAAATTCATCGGTGTTTATTCATAATGGTAACCCAGACCTTTGGATTCGTTGGTACAGTAACATCTGATCAAAAAGATATATTTTTGAAAAATAAAAAATTAGAGAAATATATTAACACATATGGTTAAAGTCACTGAAATGCATGTATTCTAATTAGGCGTCTGCTAAGTTTTATATATATATTAACAGTAAATGACACCATTGTTTATTGTATTGCATTTAAACATTAATATAGTTATTAAATGTTCCTGTTACTAAGAGCACAGAAAAGTTTATTTGATTTTTCAAATTTTTTATGATCCTATATTACAGAAAATTTATTAATACACCCTCTTTGAAAAGTGTACACTATATATACTAGTATTATATACAGTTGGGTTTACCTTCATCGAATTTACAGAAACATCGACACTGAATCTCCGCCCAGGGCCTAAATTGAGAACAAATTTCTGCCCCGTAGCTCGCACATCTTGCAACTTTATCACGGCAACCTGAAGGATAAACATGTTGAAGTTGAACTTCGGTATCTCAAACGTCGATATCTCGAATATCATGGATATGTCGACGTGTTTTGGAAGTCTCGGATGTCAGAAGTATTTTATCCTCGATATCTCGAATAATCGGAGATCTCGATTTTTTTCCTCGGCCCCATCGAGTTCGAGATAACGAAAATTGAGTGTAAATGTACATTGATAAAGCAATATTTTTGTCCCTGATTTTTTTGAAATGCAACCGATTTACCCTTTAACAAAAAAGTACTTTACAGTAAACTATATAATTTACTAAAAAGTAAAGTTAAATTATAATTAAGTAAGCAAAATATTAAAATATTTACTTTCAGTAAATGAAAGTGTTTAAAAAATATCAAATTTTGAAAAAATATTTGACAATAAAAATGTACAAAAATTTCAGAAATAAATTCAAGCTTTTTGGACTCACTATTTAATAAGTAAGGTCTAAAGTTCTATGGCTATAGTTTAACCGAGATTTGCTATATGGGGCGTTCTCTTAGATGATGGTGTAGATATGAATTACTTAAAATATAGTAAAAATCAGAATACTACAAGTACATGCACCTCTATTATCTTTTCCTATGGTTTAATATTGTAAATTTTTGCTAGGGATAACTTTTCTTATATAAACTGAAATATAAGTCGGTTGTTTTTTGATTTCCCAAAATAAAACTTTCAAAAGAAAAATTAGTTCCTTAAGTTTGTTTCATATTAAATTGCATTTACGTTTTTCTAACTACTTAGAATTCATAAGTCTTTTAATTGCCATTTACAATTTAATGAATGTACGCCTCGGGCACTTGTTTCGTAATAATTTTTTAAACCATAGTATACATGTAATTATAACACGTCATTATTATATTATGGGTTAAAAAAATAATTCCTTGATCAAAATTTATTTACATGTTAAGTAATATATACTTTTTAAAAAGTCAGTAATTTTTGTTACAATTAGATGAATTTACAAAAAAATTGGAATATATATACTAATTATATATGTAGTTTTTATTTAGTGCTCCCAAGAACTAACTTGCGAGAATAGAGTATTTTTTACCATGTCAGAAGAAACTCTTACCGAGATTGGATGTATGGGGCGTTGTCTGTGATGAGGCTGTAGATGCAAATGACGTTGATATTGGGATACTTGATGACGTTTCTATCAAAAGTCAGATTTAGGGTTAGATTTTATGCATGTATATGTATTTGGCTTTTTCAGCATGTTAAAGTACAAGTTTCAAAAAGACATTTTTAAAAATTTTGGATATTTTTGTTATTTTTTGTTTGTTTAATGATTTTTTTTTTATTTTTCTGATGCAACTAAAAATACAGTCCAAACCTGAGCAAAAGAATTTCATGGGTTCAAATGTATCTTTTGTAAACGTATTGTTTAGGTCTGTGACGCTTTGGGCATTGTTGTTCAATTTATCTGTCATTCTGTCGGTAAAAATCACAAGATTGATCTTTACACCATCTCCGAGCAATATCTCAGCCGGTTCCGAGGCATTTTCTGGGTGAAAAATTCCGTCTGTTAATACCAGAAGGACATTTTCCACATCCGGTCGATCGCCACTTGTGTTAGTGAAACTTACGTTGGTTACAAATTTGAATCCCTCTTCAATGTGAGTAAATTTCCCAATGTGACTAATGTTTTCAATGGCTTTACTTATATCAGCTGTTGAGGTATATTGATTCAAGTTAAATTCGAGCTTGGCTTCGTTGGAGAAACTCACTGCACCGAATTTTGTGTCATTATTGTACGACGCTGAACTTTGAACCAGTTCCTTCATGAATTCAAGTTGAGCATTGAACGAGGCGTTGTTTTCACTTCCGCTGCTGTCGATCAGGAAAACAACATCCAACGGCCTACATCCTTGACAAAAATAAGATACAATTCAAAATTGCTTTTTACTAATGAGTTCATTAAATACGATTTACATGATTTTCAAAAGAAAAAAAAAATTACCTGTTGTAATGTTGTGAGCACAATGTGTCATTAGAAATGAGAAAGTCAGAATTATGAAGGATAACATTCGAATGATGAACATTTTGTTGACTGAAAATATTCGAGGTCACACTTTCTTATTTGATAACGCGATTTGACCTTCCTGGCACTGATAAGAAGTAATACATGTATTTTGAAATTCATAATATTCAAAAACTTCTGCATAAAAAGAAGTACCTTGCTTTGGCCTTATGTTCGACATTTAGTTGTAGTATATCGACGACATCTTGTGTATAAAAGACAATATTTATTTTTAATCATATGTTGATTCAATATATCCATCTGAACTCGAGATAAAAGATACCACAGAGTCAGACACATCTGTTTCATATTTGGATATTTTGCCAGAAAAAAAAACGTTGATGGTAACCAAACAACAAAATTTTTTTCTTAAAACGTTATAAAAACTTTTCCATTTTCATCTTCCCTCATTTCTGTATCAATATACCATTATAATCTGGATATGGAGTTATGTCTCCCAGTTGGATTGATGCACGGGAGCATGCTCTGCGTTCAATCAATTTCTGAAACGAAGCAAGCTTCTGACAAATAACTTCATGAAACAAAGATATTAACAATCTTGTTTTAGTGTCAACATTTTGCAAATACTATGGTCGATACAATCTACCGTTAACTTGGCTGACCTGTTTCATACACATTGTTAGACTATTATTTTCACACTTTTTTTGTCTGCTTGATCGTGGCAGGTCGACAGGGAATGCTTAACTCCTCCGTGACACCTGATTCCACCTCTGGTGTGTGATAAATGGCCGTGTTAGATCTGCTCTTAATTTGTATTGCTTTAATGGACTTTAGAGCATGCGTATTGTTTATTTTCTGTAAATTTTATGATAGTAAACTAAAACAGAAAGTCTCATTTTTAGCATATTTATTACATATATAAAGAAATGAATACTGCAGGTAACATGTTAATTTCATTCACAACAGGGAGCTGTGTATACAGTTTTAAAGTCCATGTTTTGCTAGCAATATCAATATGTTAGTTAAGTCTCGAAATAAATTACCTATATTTCAATAAAGGAACTTTAAAAAACGATTATATTGATGAAAAAATTATGTAAATCATTAGAATATTATCAATTTTACTCATCTACCAAAATAAGGAACAAAGATTGGATTTCCGAGTGCTCAAGGAAATATTCCAGAGTAAACAATTTCAATGAATTTAACAAAGAGATGTGTTGGTATTTACTGCCATTAGTCATTAATTAAGTGATATCAATTACATTCAAATAGGTGATATCACCTTATACTATACTTTCATGTAAATTAATTGAATCTGATTCGTCGAGAAACATTTGTTAAAAAACGCTATTACCCGCTGAATAATGAAGCCACGCCCTCCTGCGTAGCAACAGTCAACATTGCTTGACGACGGGTGATATTCCAAAAAATAGCGACTGCGCAGAATGTATGCACGCACGGTTCACTGTTACATGTATTTGTATAAAACATTCAGTATATTAAATATATTAAATATAGCATGTAGTTGAGTGTAACATTGAAAATTTTCACCCCTCGAAAACCATTGTCAACCTCAGTTTTTTTGACAAATGTTTCTCAACTACATGCAATATTTATATAATATTGTTTTTTGACAAATGTTTCTCGACGAATCATTTTCAATCAGTTTACATGAAAGTATAATTTATTAAATATTCTCTGTATTTGCATGATACAGGAAGTTAAAATATCAGTTTCTTTGTACATAAATAATAACAATGTAATAACAATGGAGAGAAAATATTAATCAGTATATAGCAAAACTGACAGCAAGTAATATACTAGTACGTATGTTTTATACATGTAATAACTTTACAGAGATCTACTACGTACATTTATAGTGTTTCAAATTGCCTCAGACTATATAATATATCACAGGGGAACGGGACAACTTCAATTAGCTTAGGGTCTAGCTAAAATGACAATTTGGTTGTTTTATGAACAGTTTTTAACCACCATTCCATCCTTTTGTGCAATAAAAATAAAAATGAAATCTTACAGCGAATATAAATTTGATTGTTAGATTAATTTGATCAATTAAGACCGAAATAGCATTAAATATATATCTAACACAAATGACAAACTATTTTTCCCTGTTTGTACTCGATCATCATAGATTTCTGTGTAAAAACAAAAGGTATGGATGGTTAAAAAATAAATTTATGGTGAACAACACTGAAATATCACAGATATTTGACAATATTCATACGTTTTGCATTTCACGACTGCCCTGAATTTATCACAGTCATTATCAGTACATTGCACTTCCTTGTAGGGTTATTTGTAGTGTACTTGGCGTTTTATCATTGAATGTCCCCAATCATAACTTCGGCGCTTTCTGTGCGATCTAGTCGAAACTGTAACTTCCGCAAAACTTTCCCCCAAAATAAAGCTTGTCCTGTTTCGTCAGACTTTGACCAAAGAGCGTAGTCATATGACGTCAGCAGAACTTTGAGAGTGTTCGAAAGGTATTTATAACTGACCTCGCTCAAAACAGCCACTATTATGTTGTTTCTTTTTTCTTCCAAGCATCTGTTGTAAGCAAAATGCATTTGAAATTCACACCATTTGCTTTTAGCAAAATGATTTGAGAGGACGAAGAGAATCCTTCTACTTTGGTTAATATTGTCCACGATATTATCGCAGTGCAACTTTCCGACCTCAAAATCTCGACACCTTACACAAAGTTTATACCCTTTTTGCTCAAGAAACGGTATTGTAATCTTAAAAATAAAATCACTGTCTTCGTCGGCGTACACAAGATAAATATCATAACAAAAATCGGGATCGTCTGTGATCAGTTCGTATCCCTTTTTGTGATGCTTGAAGACGTGCAGCCAATATCGTATGTGCCATCGAAGTTTGTACACCAACGCCAATACAAGAAGCGTTGCTGCTATTATACTACAAAATGTTATAATGGCTATCACCAACGCTGGGTTAATAGGGCATAAGTCTCTTTCAGTCAGGTCAAACAATATTTGTGTGCCCACATCATGTGTATTAGACCTACACGCAATTTTATTTATCATGGACAGCTTCTTCTTGTTTGAGTGCATCCATCTATAAAACCAAATCACATCATCGCAAACGCACGAAAATTTATTCCAACTGACGTTTAGACCTCTTTCATATAATCCATTAAGTAATGTCTGTGGGAAATTAAAAAGCGTGATTTTATCTATGTTATTAAAAGATAGATCAAGAAATTTTAAATTAGACTTATTTCCAAACACCAATTCCCCATTCCAAGACCCATTTAAAACGTTATTTGATGCGTCGAGTGTGGTCAAGTTAGGTAAATTTTCCATTAGTCCATGTGGTAAATAGACCAGCCGCATGCCTCTTATTCCAAGAGTTTTCAAGTTTTTCAAAGGCTTTAACATAGAAATGAATTCTTTTTCATGTAAAACGAGAGTGTTCCCGGAGATATTTAGAACCTCCAAACTTGGACAATACTTAAAGTACTCTGGGGCAGGATTGGTGCTTTCGTTTCGAAACCAAAAATCATTTTGTGTAAAAATCAATTTCTTTAGCGATGCACTTTTGAATGCTTTTGCCTCAATATGAAAAAGTTGTCCGGCTAACTTTTGCATTTTTAGTTCTTTCAAAGACGTTAGATTCGAAAAAGTGTTATTATAAAGCTTTCTTATTGCATGTCCATTTAAGTTCAAGTACGTTAATTTCGATAAACATTGAAAGTAACTAGGCCGAAATTCAGTTAATTTATTGTACTGAAAATGAAGTTTTTCCAATTTCTTGATAGAGGAATTACAAAACTTGGGAAATTCCTTGAACCAGTTACCAATTAAGAATAAATTTTTTAGATTTTCTAAACCTGTAAAATTGTAGTTATTCTCTGATATTCCGTTAAAGGATACATCTAAAGTTTTGAGACACCTTAATCCTTTAAACCATTTACCCATCAATGTTCGAAAATAATTAAAGGATAAGGTTAGGTGAGTAAGACAACTGTTTTTAAGCCTATCAAAATTAGGGGGTTCATTCCAGGTATTGTGTAAGAACCTTAAAGTTTTGATCGTCCTGTGTACACCTTGCAACATGTTGCCAATTTCTTTTGTTGAGACTAGAATTTCTCTGCTGATCTCCAACTCCCGTAGATATTTCATTTCCGAAAGTGCATCTCTGGAGATGTTCCTGATACGATTGTCCAGTAAAGTCAGTCTCATCAATTTTATGTTTTCCAGATTTTTGAACGTCTGTTTCGTTACATTTGTAAACCGATATCCTTTAATGTACAAGTGTTTTGTGTTGTTTGGCACTCTCGGTATATAACTTAAATGCTTGTCGTCATCCCTATTTACGCATTTTATTGTAACACTCGTAGCCTTTTTGCCATAAAATAAGCACTTGCATTTCCATTTTGGGGGAATTTTTTCAGCAGCACTACACGGATTTATTTGTGAGCTACTTTCTACCAGCATAAGTGTGAAAAATATTATCGGTGTTGATATCATTTTTACTCAGCCAAGATTCTACAAAAGAAAAGTAAAATTTTGGAAAAAATTCACATAAATAGGCAAAACTACAAGGACATGGTCAAGATGTCAAATATTTTGGTACCCACCCAAAAAAGGGGGGGGGGGGGTTATCACAAGTATTTCGAATGTGATACATGAAAACCTTCATCGCCCAGGAGTAAGTTTTTGCAAAAAGATTTAACAGAAAAACAGACAAACGGTAGGACAGACAAAACCGTATATGTCCCGAATCTTTTATTATACAGGTAGTGGCATGAAAACGAGATGTTTAATAATATACTGAAAGGAAAAAGAAACGCATATTTTACTTTTAAATTAAATTAAAACTATTATTTCGAAAATGTTTTCCAGTATTGTTATCAAACATTTTAATTCATCTTTAATCTACAAGTTACCAAAATCTTGTGTGACTTTGACTGATAATTCCTGAGTTATTGAAATTGATATGTCGATACCCCCCAAAATTAAAATAAAAATTCTCATCATCTCCCTTGCACATTGGTTACAGCCTTGATTTTCCTGTGCAATGAGTTCACCAGAGCATTTATCTTTCTCATTTGATTATTATTCAACGCTTCCGACAATAGTCTTAATGGTTGATAGAAGCTGTATTATTCCAAAGCCAACAAATCCCCCCGCCAAATGAGTGCCACGAATTTTCATTTAAGGATAGAATTTACAGAATCCAGCTGGTTTGGTACACATGAATGTTTGTGAGAAAGTCTCGACAAACACTGGCTACATTTCCCCGGTGTGAACATGCTAAAAACATTACGCACACGACGCGTACGTGCGCGCGTGAGAGTAAAATCGACGTAAAAGTTGCCAAGCTCGCGGACCAAATTAGAGCAGAGAATTTCTGTCAATTTTAGGGTGAAAATATTGGTATGATAGTTTGCTGTATAAATATCGGTTTCAGTGATAACACCTTGACAACAACCGAGGTGACATGATGAAAAGCCCTGTCTTGATGTGACGTTGTTACGCGTCAACGTCACCGCCATCGTTGGTTGGAAACCTTTTAATTTACTCTCTGACAACTGAAAAACCTTTTTTTGTTGAAAAGTTTAAATTTTTGACAAACTGCACAGAAACATCTTGTTGCCTTTTTATTCACTTACGCAATTCAATTACTGGAACCATTGAAACTTCCGTCAGCCATACCATGATTGCACGAAATTTATACTGATTTCAAATGCGGAAAACGATGTCTATAACTCCAATGCATCGATTAGCACCACAAAATGTGATCATAAAATTGTCATCATCAACATGCACGTGTTTTTGGCTTTTTATCATTTCCCCTACGTGACGCCATACATTTCATGGTTGAGTAATTTTGACCAGCAATTTTAGTGCACAGTAATCAAAATAAACATTTGACAAATTTTCATAATTTTCGGACATATAGTTAAATATATTTCGATATTATGCTATTATGCGTTTCTTTTTCCTTTCAGTATATATTTTAACATTTTTTTATCTTTTATTATACAAGTAGTGGCAGTATTTTTATTGATACAAAAGCACTAAAAATTTAGATTTTACACATTTTTTTATTTTGAAGTTTTAATCTATGAAGCATTGCAATTATGAAAGAAAAAATGCTATTATTAAAAATTATAATTCCAATATTCATGTCTGTTTCCTTGAAATTGTGCTTTACATCAATTTTAACGTTAAGTTGTACAAATAATCAAATCTTTTTACCACTTAATTCAAGCTAGAGGTATTACACGTGAGCAATAATCTCACAAGAAGATGTACAGCTCCCGTATTAGTATAATGGGCAAAGTCATTTTTGCTATGGGTATAAAAGGGGAGGATCCAGGATTTATTATTCCGCCCTTTCCCCTCTTTTAAATCTGGGTTATTTTTTTTAAAATGCATTCTCTGTCATGGACTCTCATAGCGCTCGAATGCCACAATCCTGTACTCTGTCTAGATTACGACGACTCTCAGGTAAGTTAATGACAAAAAAGTTGATAAAACAAGAATATTATATAAACATTATCGTTTTATATCATCATTTCGGAAGTTGTATGAACGGTACAGTGACCTTGTCAGCAAATACAATCTCTCATTAAGTCAAATTCTCAGTGGCGTTTTTGATACTGAAAGTTGGGCCATCTATGATCATTAACACACTGAATTGACCACAGATTTTTTTCGTTATTCCCCGTTAATGACAAAAAAAAACATGGCGGCTCATACCTCCATGGCACCTGATCCCAACTCTGATGCTCTATTAAAGGCCCATATTTACCATACTCCCAATCCGTATTGTTTGAATGGACTTTTGAGCTTGAATACCGTTCGTTATTTCCATACATTCCATAAATGGTTAATGATAGAGCTGAGAAATTGAGCTTGAGCTTATTGGCTTGCCAATGAAGTCAAAGGAAATATCACGCAACTTAGGCTACACCCAAAAGTTTGACAGCGACATGTATTAAGTTTGAAAAGAAATTAAGAGGAACAAATTGCACAAGCTTACCTTGCTTGTTAGCCCTCTTTGACTCCAGTTTGCACCTACTTATGTCGTACCCGAGGCAAGAGAACCAGACCCTGTATTCTTGGGTATAATATGCGGAGAGAAATGCAGTTGATCGAATCACATTTTACTATTTTGTTCCCGGTATGACTATTTTTACTTCAGGAAGTTATTTTTGATAGTGACAAAACGCTGGCGATCAAAGCATGCATGGTTTCAACACTATGAGAATTCCACATTCAGACTAATTATATAGGCTATACAGATATTTACGGAAGTCATAAGGTGGAGTAGTGTAATTAAATATTTTTAAAAAGAGATCGAGTGGACAAACCATGACCAAAGACTAAGCACTGCTTGTATTGAATTGAATCCCTATTATATTAAAGTGTATAAAAAGGTTAATATTTTATCATATAAGTAGTAGTTGATTGCAATTGAATATTGAATTTCGTGAACCGATTTTTAGAAAAGGTTTTCAAGAGAAGTCCTTTACGACAATTGAAAATGTACTTTTGAATATAGTTTAACCCCAGGTCCGCAGAAGGCGGAAGGGGGCGTAATTTTTTGTTTTCAAATGTTTGTCAACAGCTCCACAATTTTGATGATGTGTGGCACAGGTACTTGGGTCGTGGTTTATAAATATTTATAATGTACCTTATTGATATGTAAAAAAAGTAAAGGCTCCGTAATGGCGTCTGCTCAACTCGCTTGTTTACATGGCTTGTTCTCTTTAAAAAACGCTGCACCTACCGATATTTCTGCATCGGACGCCTCAGAACATTCATTACTAATTGTAAATATCCTCACATCTTGCAAATAATTCCTAAAGAGGGATTTTTAAACAATTTTTCAAACTTTTCGTTAACGTGCCCGGAACTAAGTGCAAATACTAAAACCCGAATCAAAACGACGAATTCCGGCAATTCAGACACTCCAAAATTCTAGAGGCATTCCGAGAAAATTATAAATAGTTCTGGAATTTCAAGTTATATTTAAATTTCTCTTAATTATTTTATATGAATTTTTTTGTATTTTTTCAAAGAAAATGAAAAAAATTTATTTACATCCAAATTAGATGCTTTCTTGTAAAAATTTTGCTGTAAATGAATGCATCACGTAAATACCTAATAAAATATGTAAAGAAAGTCTGGTTAGACTTTTTAATTTTTTCTATAAAAAATTATTTATGAAAATAAAACTGATTTTTTGTGAATATTTTTTAAACCTATGGTTAAAAACACCATAAAACTAGTCACAACTAAGGACAACATGTTTGTCAATCATATTTTTAAAAGAAATTGAAACGAAATTGAGAAGTTTTAGAGAAATTAATTTTTTTAATATTTGGACCTAACCCGATTAAAATTAAACTGATCCCGATCAAAATTAACACAAAATGAATAAAATGCTAATCTATTGCCTTATCATGTATTTACAATGAAGAAATCTATTTTATTGTCAGGTTCTATAATGTTTTAACCTTTATAACACCTAATCAGACTAGTGTTCTTAGGAAAATGTTATTTATTTCCAATAATTGTACAATTATGGTCAGGATCGGTTTAATTTTGATCGGGGTTGGCCAAAATTTAAAAAATTTATTTTCTCTAAAATTTGGCTATTTTGTTTCAATTTCTTTTATAAATATGATTAATGAACATGTTCTCTCCACTTGTGACTGGTTTTAAGAAGATTTTAACCACAAGTTTAAAAAATATTCGCAAATAATGTGTTTTATTTTCATAAATAATTTTTTATAAAAAAAAATTCAAAAGTCTAACCGGACTTTCTTTACATATTTTATTAGGTATTGATGTGTTGCATTCATTTACAGCAAAAATTTTACAAGAAAGCATCTAATTTGGATGTAATTAATTTTTTTCCATTTTCTTTGAAAAAATACAAAAAAATTCATATAAAATAATGAAGAGCTAATATCGGCCTCTCAATGCTGAAACCATTGTTTAAAAAGGTTGACTCAGAGATCTATAAAATAAAAAGTTGGTGTGGCATTCCTCCTTAAAATTATGATATCGGATACTCGAATAAGTGATACATGTATATCACCTAGTGAAATCAAACAGACAATATCACAGATTTGATAGCTGATAATACATACATGTAAGCTTAAACTATGTATGAATTCGAAATTACATCTCTAAGACTATACATTGTACATACATTGCATATTATATAACTATTGCATGTAGTTGAGTGTATTTTGACAGTTTGGTTCTTGGGTCCGACAAAACGCATGTTGCCCTCGAACTGAGTCAGTATGCTGTTGCTATGCTGGAGGGTGTGGCTTCATTATACAGCGGGTATTAGTGTAAGTTTTTTAAATGTTTTTCGACCAATCAGATGCAACCAATTTTCATTAAAATATAATTTATTAGAATATTCTCTGTATTCCCATGATATAGGAATTAAATTTTTCAGTTCCTTTGTTCATAAGTAATAACAATGGAGAAAAAATATC